TTTTTTTTTTTTAATTTCAGACGGCCCTAGATGGTATAAAACAGGTAACTTTCAGTCAGTGGCCAAAAATCTAACTTTGTCACCACAACAAGATAAAGGTAAATAATCCAACAGAAAAATTGGCACAGGATATAAACAGACACTTCACCAAACAAGACATTCAGATGGTTAACAAGCACATGAAGAAATGTTCAAAATCCCTCGCTCTAAGAAAGAGGCAAATCAAAACAACTATGAGATATCAGTCAGAATAGCAAAATTTAACAGAACAGCAAACAACAAATGCTGGCGAAGTTGTGGAGAAACTGGAACCCTTATTCACTATTGGTGGGAGTGTAAAATGGTGCAACCATTTTAGGTGGTGTGGCACTTTCTCAAAAAGTTACAAATAGAAATACCACTTGAGCCAGCAATTCCACTACTGCAATATACCCCAAAGAGCCCATAACTGACATCCAAGCAGATATATGCACACCCATGTTTACTGCTGTTTTGTTCACAATAGCAAGGAGTTGGAAACAACCTAAGTGCCCATCAAAAAATGAATGGATGGACACGCTGTGGTATTTTCACACAATGGAATACTATGCTGCATTGAAAAGAAACGCATGCAATATTAATAAAAATGGGTGACCCTGGAGGACATAATGCTGAGTGAAGCATCTCCATCACAAAAGGATTAATACTGCATGGTACCACTGTTGTAAACAGGACTGACCTCGGGGTTCGGGAGGGACTCAGAAAAATGGGTTCAATAATATATACTGCATTGAAACAGATGAGGGGAAAAACTGAGTAAAAGGGATATGTGATTAGGTATTTTTGTCATGACAGGAGTCCAGAGTGAAGGCTGCATAGTGGGAGTGGACCTGGGGGAGGGTTTGTGAAACAATGAAAGAATTTTTCTTCTACTTCTCCAAGAGGGTAGTGTACTAGGGAGGAGGGTTGGTAGGGGAGAAAAGTGCAAGAATTAATTAATTAATGGAAATCCAAAGTCTATAAATTTTCATTGAAATTAATGATAAATTTTAAAAAAATCTAACGTTGTGCCATCCAAATTCCTTCCTTTGCATTGGGCTCAGCTGGTCACCATTTCTCTGTTCTTATTTGGAGATCATGTTCATTTCTTTTCTATTTGTTCTATCACATTCCTCCTTCCTCCCATGAATCTCTTCTGCCCAAATCTTCCATAGAATATGCCCGGAAAGAGATGCATATTCTCCAGAAATAAAAAGTGAGAGATTCATAGAGCAAGCTACTTTATTTTTTCCTGGAGATATAAGAACTGGACCTGGACTTGGGATCACACATGCAAAAATGGCCTCAGATGACTTTCACTCACTCCCTATATCACCCCAACTGAATAGAATCATCAGGTTGTACATGTCTCTCTGTTTGGATATCATGCAGAACATTTCCACATTAAAAATAAATCATAACAACAACTGGGCTCAAATCTGGAAAGTCTACCAAGGTGGAATGAAGAGTCACTTAAATGTTACCAACATAGAAAATATATCACTAATTCTGCACATAAACCTATTACCTTCATAAATACACAAGACAGACCTTTTAATAAGGGTATTCTTCAAATTTCCACACTGATCTCTAAAGACAAGGATGGAGAATTGAAGATTTCTGCCAACTTGAGTAGTCTGAATTTGGTTAAATGTACAATCAAATACTGCATAAATACATTGCTGTAAAAAATAAAATGAAAACTAGTAACCCATGTATGGTGATCAAAGGGGATGCTCTGGGAGCAGAGGAGTGAGGACAAGTAGAGGTGAAATCACAGAATTGCACAATTTGGTGGGTGGAGGAAGAAGGTAAAGGAAATGGGAAAGATCCAGTGGGATCAAAAAAAAAAAAGGGGGGGGAAATGGTGGGTATAGTCACATAGTGATTAATCTTATAAAACATAATGAATGGAAATGACTTCATGATTGGGGATGATTGTATGAATGGGGATGATTCACACAATGTGAATGAAGAATAGTGTGAAACAATGTATTCAAACACTGCAGGCAAATCAATATAAAATAAGTTTTTTTAAAAAAAATGCACTGTGAAACATAATTTCACAAAAGTATTTGAGAGCAAAGGTCTAACGGATACCATGAGGAGCAAAACAAAGGGAGGGTGGCAGGGAAACGACCACTCAAGACTTCAGTGAGGGTGATCGGAGGGAAGACAGCAAACACTGTCCTCCTTCTGTGCTGTGCTCATCAGTCCTCAACTCTGGGATAACTCAGATATGACCACTACTGTCACTTCCTCAGTTCTCCCCTGGGATTTGAAAAAGACCAGGGAAAACACACAGCTCTGTTTTCCAGTGCTGATTAAGTGGGAGTCCTGGTTCAGGCCCTGGGGATGAGGAGATGACTACAGCCCACATGATCAATGACTTTTATGAGTGGAGAAGACATTCAATTTCTTTATTCTTTACAAAACCAACGAGGTCAGGTGATGTAGTCCTTAGGGAGTTGTTGTGCTGACCTCATAAATAGGTTACCTCTTTAGCGGTTTGAATTCATTATATATTCTGTGAAAGAAAGATGGGCCATCTCTGCTCTTGTGATTTATGGACCCTGAACACCTGCTCTAGGATAATACAGGTGTTAGCTCCAACTTTAGAATAGTGAGTTTAAGCTACTAAACTACTAAACACTGTTTATTGAATCATTTAAACTAGAGCCATAGTTTGTTTCATAGTCTTTCTTTTTGATCATACTAGAAGTCTAGTTGGTAAAAAATCTTGAAAATTCTACTTCCAAAAATCATTTCAAGGCATCCTTCCCTCCTCTATTGCAAATAGTTCGTTCAAGACAATATACTTTCTTAGATTCTTAACTACTCTCTTCTGCATTTTATTCCCCATCATGTCTCAAGGCCTCAGGCAACAGAGGGCACTTTGGCCTGTCCCACGGTGTCTGTGGCCTGTTCCAGATGAGAGCCACCTACCAGATTCTTCTCTGGTGCCTTCTGCCTGCTGCTCACTGGGTTTCAGGACTGTGACATCACAGATCCCCTGGAACCACAGGCCACCACCCCTAGCTCCGGACCCAACCCCTCCCTGAATGAGGTCTCTATGGTGAGGTTTGGGCATAGGAGGAGAAGTGGTTGTTTTGCATGAATAGCCCTCCCTCTCTCTGATGTTTCAGAGACTAAAAGGGACTTGGGGGCCCAGGCCCAGCTGAGGTCTCAAGATGCAGAGTCTTGTGGGGGTTTCCACTATGGCCCGGGCTCCTCTCCTTTTCACCCTCCTCATTCACTGCACAGGTAGAGACAGGACACATCAGAGATGGGGATGGAAAAACCATGGAGTGCTGGGTCTCTATCTCTGAACCTGCCTGTCTCACCCTATGTCTTTCCTGACTTTCAGGGTCTTTGGTTCAGTCTGTCTTGACCCAGACGTCTGCAATGTCTGGGTCTGTGGGGCAGACAATCAGCATCTCCTGCACTGGAAGCAGCAGCAATGTTGGACTTGGTTATCCATCCTGGTACCAGCAGCTCTCTGGCAGTACCCCCAGAATGCTCATCTACTATGCTGATCAGAGACCATCCGGGATCCCAGATCGATTCTCTGGCTCCAGGTCAGGGAACACAGCCTCCCTGAGCATCTCTGGGCTCCAGGCTGAGGATGAGGCTAATTATTACTGCTCAGCCTGGGACAACAACATTAGTGCTTACACAGTGCTTCAGGCCAGTGGGGAAGTGAGACAAAAATGTGCTGCACCCAACAGTGGGTCTTCTCTCTGCATCCTCAGCCAGAACACCTGCTTTCTCTGTATGGCCCAAAGCTAACATTTAAGATAAACTTCTAGGGACCATATTCCACCTCCTTTGAAGCAACTCATCATCTGATGTTTTTAAATGGAAAGAGATTCCTGAAATCTAAGATCTGGATTCCAAGAGAATTCAAGGATATGTTCAAGGGAGAACCTAGACCATAGAGTCCAGTTGTGTGTGACTTCAAAAAGGCAACAGTTTCAGATGTACATTCACTCATATCACTTACTGATCTTAACTATGTGACACTCTAGGTACTCAGATCCAGTGTTTATAATAAAGGGAGAGCATACATTGTCTTAAACCTGACAATGGAATGATAGGAGTAACCTTTATATAGATGCACTTGTTACATGCTGTCAAAGGGCGGTCTGATGGCCTAGTGGCAAGAAGCTGTCCTTCAATCCTGAAGGTACGTGGGTTGAGGACACCAGATGCTCCACAAGAGAAGGATGGTAAATCTCCCATGCAATTAACTGCCTCTGAAAACCCACCAGAGGGTCACCTATGGCTCAGTTCCTACTCGGCAGTATACAACATGTGCTGTTGAGTCACCAACTCTCAGCGACCCTTTGTACAATATATCTGAACACTGACCCCTCCTGAGCCAATCTCACTATCTGACACACCTGCCCCATAATCCCAGTTACTGTGTCAGTCCATTTCATTTGGGGTCTTCTTCTCCTGTGTTGTTTCTTCCCCTTTCCAACCATGTTGTTCTTCTCCAAGGACTGGTCCCTTCTGGCAACATGCCCAAAGTATGTGAGTTGTTGTAGTTGTAATGTGCCATCTAGTTACCTGCTACTCATAGTGACCCTATGTATACCAGCTCTGAAACCTGACCTATTCCGAGCCAGTGTCATTGCCTCCAACAGACCTAATCCCATTTCTCTAGTCACTGAGCCAATCCATCTGATTCTGAGTCTTCCTCTCCTTCACTGTCCTCCATTCTTCCAAGAATGATGCCCCTCACCAATCACTGGTCCCTCCTGCCCAAAGTATGTGAGACGGAGTCACATAATCCTTGCCTCCAGGGAACAGCCTGGTTTCACCCTTTCCAGAACAGAACTGTGTGTTACCCTTGCAGTCCATGGTATGTTCAACACTTCTTCAGCAACAAGGAGCTGGAGTCAGATAATCAAAAGGGATGAACTTGCTCAGATTTCTTAAGCTGAAGAAACTGAAGAACGAATTTAAGTCTCAAGTTGCAATACTTTAGGATGCTGAAGGCATAATGTTGAATGACACAGGAAGTCTCAAAAGAGGATGCAAAGAGAACATCAAGCCACAGGAGAAATGGTCAGGAGTGAGTACTCTCCATTGTTTGTGGGGAGACAGGACTGAGGCATCTCTGGGGTTGTAGTTTCCTCCATGTGAGGGTCCTTTCCTGTGAAGCTGTGCACCACCTCAGGGGCCAAACAGGACAAGGGACTTTAGTGTACAGAACTGTGGGCAGAGGGAAGTGTAGCTCTCTGTAAGCTACAGGGAGGGCTGACTTGAGGATTTTCACATGAAAGCTGCTTGAGCTGGCAGCTCTGATCTCTAACCTCCTGCCACTCCAGAGACAAAGGAAGGCATTGAGCTCCAGGAGAAAAGGTGCACAAGAAATTGCTTGTCTAGAGCTCCTGCTCTCACACCACTCAGCCACTTCATATATGAAGAATGGGTTTCAGGAGACTGCAAGTCGAAATTCCTACAGTGCTGGAATGCAGAACAGAGTGAACCTCAAGGACGTTGTTGTTGTTATGTGCAATCAAGGCTCTTGCGACTCATATCAACCCTATGTACAAGAGCCCTAAACCCTGTTCAATACTGTGCAACCTCATTGTTTCCAAGACCACTATTCCCACTACCCCAATTACTGAATCAATCCATATCATCGAGTGTCTTCCTCTCCTGTACTATCCCTCCACTCTCCAAAACGTGATGTCCTTTTCTAAGCACTGGTCCCTCCTTGCAACTTGCCAAATGTGTGTTAGATGAAGCTACAGAATCCTTGACTCTAAGGAGCAGCCCAGCTTTATCCTCACCAGGACAAAGCTATTTGTTCTTCTAGAAGTCCATGGTATATTCAACACTCTTCTCCAGCATAACAACGCAAACACATCAATTATCTTTCTATCATCCCTAGTCACTGTCCAGTTCTCCCATGCAGAGCACATAATTGTGAAGAGTAAGCCCACATCAGGCATACCTTAGTCTCCAGTCTGATGTCGCTGTCCTTAAGTACTCTGGAGAGGTCCCTGACAGCTGAATTTCCCAGTTCAATTTGTCTCCTGATTTCCTGGCTGCTGGTACCAAGAGTGTTGACTGTGGAACCAAGCAAACTAAAACTGTTAACTATCTCGATCTCTTCACCATGCATACTGATGCTGCCAATTGGCCCAGTGGTGAGAATCTTTGTTTTCTTGATATTGAGCTTCAATCCGTATTGAAGACTGCAGGCTTTGACTTTATGGAGCAAGCGCTTCATTTCTTCCTCAGTTTCCGCAAGCAGGGTTGTGTCATCTGCAGATTGCGGGTTTCCACATTCCTCCTTGTATAGTCCAGCATCCCCGATGATCTATTCTGCATATAGATTGAAAAGGTGTGGAGACAGAATACATCCCTGTTGGACCCCTTCCCAATATTTAGCCATGCAGTCTCTCTTTCCTCTGTTCTGACAACAGCCTTTTGATCCAAGCACAGGTTTCGTAGAAGCACAACCAAATGTTCTGGGATTCCCATTCTTCTCAGAGTCTGCTACAGCTTGTTGTGGTCCACACAGTTAAAAGCCTTTGCAAAGTCAATGAAGCACAGATAGACATGTCTTTGGTACTCTCAAGGACTCCAAGGACTTTAGAAAGGCAAATTTTCCCCACAAGGACATACAGTGGAGTGAGTACTTCACCACATTTAACTTGACAACCAATTAATAACAATATAAAGGCAAGAACCAACAACAACTTTTCCAGACACAATTAAAATAAGCTAGCACTTATCTGAACAACTCCACATAATGTCAAAAAAGCAACAGGCAGCTCAAACACTGTGAAAAAACAACTTAAGGCTGCTAAAAAAAACCCCAAATAGATCTTTTCAGTGACACCATGAATACAGAGTCAAGAAGGAAGATGATATATGATAATATGGAAACACTGAAACAGCTATGAATAAAAGCATAAATGATGGAAGAAACAATGGAAGCCACAGATAAAGGAAATAACCTAGAGGTAGAGAACCAGAAAAAAAATGTATACTGATGAAGAGTTACTTGCATAGCTACAGGAAAAGGTGCAAATGATGGAAGAAAGAACAGAAAGCAAGAAGAAAGCAAATGCTCCAGAGACACAGAGCCAGAAGAAATATACTGAGGAGGAGGAACTTGCACAAATTTGAAATAAAATAACAACAAAAAATGGAAAAAAGATTAGAAACTATAGATAAAGAGATACAAGAACTTAAAAAATTATCACAAGATAGATTATGGCCAATACAGTGCTAGAAATAACAGGAAGGCATGAAAATGCAATTCAAAATATCAAGACTGAAATGGGAGAAGTGTCCAAAATGCTGGAAGAACAAGCAAGTAGAACTAAAGAGAAGGAGCAGAAAGTCAGTGAGCTGGAAGAAAAAAATCTCAACGAAAACATACTAGAAGAAAAATCAAAGATGAGACATAAAGAAAATTAAGAAAACATTAGAATCATGTGGGATTACCTTAAAAGGAATAAGATATGTATGATTAGAATTTCAGAATATGATAGGGATAGGGGAGTCACTGAGAAAAGTGTGGAAGAGGTATAAGAAGAAAATGTCCCAGGTATTAGAAAGAATGAGAAAATGCACAATCAGGAAGCTCAGCAAATACCAAATAACTAGACCTAAAAATGAAAACATAAAGACATACACAGTCAAATTCTCCAAAATAAAATATAAGGATAGAACACCGAAAGCAGCACAAGAAAAACAAAGACTCACCTACAATGGAAAAGCAATCAGATTAAGTTCTGAATTTTCAGCAGAAACCATCCAAGCGAGAAGAAAGAAAACAATTTCCAAGCCAGGATCCTGTACAGAACAAAGCTCTCCATCAAATATGCAGGAGAAATTACATCCTTTGCAGAAAATAAAGAATTTAAGGAATTTGTGAAAACAAGACCAAAACTACAAGAACTTTTAAGGGCAGTCCTTAACAGAGACACACTAAAGGAAACTGCATGGACCATAATAACAAGAAGCAACAAATAAAGAAATAAAGTAAAATGGCAATGATAAAACCTAACCTGTCAATAATTACACCTAGCATGAATGGACTTAATGCACCAATCAAGAGAAAAAGAGTAGCAGAATGGATAAAAAAGTGAAGCACATCAACATGTTGTCTACAAGAGACACATCTAATAAATGAAGAGAAAGATAGATTCAAAATTAAAGGCTGGGAAAAAAAAAATACCAAGCAAATGGCATCCACAAAAAAGAAGGAGTGGCAGGCAATACTAATCTCTGATAAAATAGACTACAAAGTGAAAATCACCATAAAAGATAAGGAAGGGAAATAAATAATGATTAAAGGCATAGTCAATTAAGAAGACATAATGTTTGTCAACATCTATGCACCAAACGATGTTGTTGTTGTTGTTAAGTG